AAGTGAATTGGGGGAAAAGGGCAAGGTACACTTTTGGCGGAAAAGGGAATCGAACAATTTATGATTTGGCGGAAAAGTGAATTGGGGGAAAAGGGAAAGGTACACTTTTGGCGGAAACCGGCCATGCCCAGCGTATTGTATAAACTTATGAAGATTATAAGTCTACGACGCGTTGCAAACTCGCAATATGGCGACCATCAAAGTTTTGTATATCTTTGTAGTTTTGTACCCGCGAGTACTTTGAATGGTTTCTATTTTAGCCTCAGTTATCGCGTTAAATACTTTAAATAATAGGTAATATTGAACATTTTGTCAACATCTTTCAATATCGTCGATCCAATCACCTTGGACAACGCGCGAACCATAAGAACTATTATTGTTATACACACATATTATATAGACGTTTATATGTATAGTTTATATGTATACCTGAAACTTTCGTTTTTCCTGATCAGGTCTTCGAGGGATATCGTCGGCGGATACAATACATGGTCAACGGTGTGAACGGCCCCGTTGTAGCCTCGCACGGTTTGAAAGTGAATCCGTCGTCCTTCCACACCGAACTCATTCTGGACGCACTGCAGGCGGAGTTGCTTTCCGGAAGCAAAGGTCTCCACGGTTTTACCGTCGTAGATGTTCTCGGCCATGATTGTTTGTCTCCCAACGTGAAAATCTACGAACGCTCGGGCGGCACTCGGGTCGGACCGGATGTGATACATTTCCATAGGATTCATACCTGCAGCGTCAAATCAATTGCTAAATATTTATACACCCACATTCACTATATAGATATAGAAAGGTACGTAAAATATGCGTCGTCCATCAATGAAAAACACGTTACGGTGATCGTTATACGACCGGGTTATAATAATGCATATACTTACTATATATATACACCGTGTTCACGTGAAGAATACTTTATAGACAATTTATAAATATAATAATATAACAATATAGGTGTGTATATATTAAAGTGTCCCACGGAGATCTGACATTCTGACAAATGAAATAACTTTTGTTCAAATCAATATTTAAAAAAAAAAATGTTTAATGTAATGCATAAACACTTACGCTACGATTTTTTATTTTTTAATACTGAAAATAAAAAACTTCAAAGTTGATAAAAAAAAATTTCCGAAACATTCAATATAGCCAAATTGTAAATCTTATTTTGAGAAAAATTTATATGGTAAAAGAATTTACTTAAGTCAAATGGCTGATTTAAAAAAAAAATTTAAATATCTATATTCTCGCTTAGTATAAATTATACGATCTATAGTTTATGTTAGAAACATTATAATTTCAAAATATATAAATTTTAGGTATTTAAAAATATTTATAGGTATAAAATATTTTAAAAGAATTGTAAAAATCAGGCATTTGACTTGAATATATTTTTAATGTATTTGATTAATGTTTTAATTAATTTTTCTCAAAATAAGATTTACAAATTGATTATATTGAATATGGTTCGGCAATGTTTTTATCAATTTTCAAGTTTTTTATTTTCAGTAGGTATTAAAAAATAAAAAATAAAAATGTAGCGCAAGTGTTTATGCATTATATTTAAAAAAATTTTTTAAAATATTGAACAAAAGTTATTTAATTTGTCAGAATGTCAGATCTGTGTAGGACATCCTGCAGTATATAATTATTGCAGTGGTGACTTACATTTCAGGGCTTTGTTGGTCGGTGCAAAAACGGTTAAAGCGTTAAAACTTTCAAACGTTTGCGCTAGTCCGGCGATGTTGACGATCTGAATAAATTCGCTTAGACCCAAATGCTGCATGATCTGCAACGCCGATTTCCCTGCAAACCATAGTTGTGTTAAGCTTATAACAATAATAATTATATAATATAATTATGTTGTACATATACAACAGTGGTGGTTTTACGGTGGGTGGGGGGGGGAGTAGTGGCGTATCTGTGAAACATTTTT